GGCAGGAACCCTACACCATTTCAGACAAACGGCTGTCCAGTCTCTTCTTAAAAACTTCCAGTGTTGGAGCATTCACCACTTCTGGAGGCAGGTTGTTCCACTGGTTAATTGTTCTAACTGTCAGGAAGTTTCTCCTTAGTTCTAAGTTGCTTCTCTCCTTGATCAGTTTCCACCCGTTGCTTCTCGTCCTGCCTTTAGGTGCCTTGGAGAATAGCTTGACTCCCTCTTTTTTGTGGCAGCCCCTGAGATACTGGAAGACTGCTATCATGTCCCCCCTCGTCCTTCTCTTCATCAAACTAGACATACCCAATTCCAGCAACCGTTCCTTATATGTTTTAGCCTCCAGTCCCCTAATCATCTTTGTTGCTCTTCTCTGTACTCTTTCTAGAGTCTCAGCATCTTTTTTACATCGCGGTGACCAAAACTGGATGCAGTATTCCAAGTGTGGCCTTACCAAGGCCTTGTAAAGTGGTATTAATACTTCACGAGATCTTGATTCTGTCCCTCTGTTAATGCAGCCTAGCACTGTGTTGGCTTTTTTGGCAGCTGCAGCACATGGCTGGCCCATATTTAAATGATTGTCCACTAGGACTCCGAGGTCCCTCTCACAGTTACTACTATTGAGCAAGGTACCCCCTATACTATACCTGTACATTTGGTTTTTCTTGCCTAACATGATTGTCTAAAATACTTTAAAAGTCGTTGATGACTTCTGTGGCTTCAGTATCGAAATCAGAAGGATTGGCATAGCGCCTGGCTAGGAATTCTGGGAACTGTAGTTTCCCAGGAAAGCAATCGGCTTGCAAATGGCCTATCGGGGAAAAAAAAATAGCACATGGACGCCTCTATGGTTTTTTGTTCCTATGGCAACTGTCCGGGTCCGTGATGTCACCTCCGGTCCTGCCTTCCTGCCTTCTCCACGGTAGAGGGGAGTAGAGCGGATCATATGCTCGCCTCCTTCTTTCTCCCCCTTTTTGTAATTGGTACGTCCCACCTCTGCCGCCTGAACAACGGCACGAAGGCGGAGCGCATTCCACGAAAAGGGGGGGAAATACGGAGATTGAAGCAGGCGAGCGAGAAGCAGAGCGAATTGGGTGAGTTTCTCGAAATAATTGGAAAGAAAGTTAAAGCAGAGCCCGGGTATTATTTGTAAGATTTAGACATTTTCTGGCGTGCATATCAGTTTCGGGACG